ACACACACACACACACACACACACACACACAACCTGGGTTTTATAAGTATAACTCGATATGAGTTGTCCCCCTTTCATTGTGGCGACAGAATCGTGTTTTATCGTTTTTTCAAATTGAATTCGTGCAAAAACAATTGTGTTTTTCCAATTGTTGGCGCTGTCAGAACCACCATAAGGTAATTTTACGTAGTCCCCTGAAGTTTTGTTGAAATCGGTTTGAAAAAAATGTAGGAAATCCGATCCAATATATAAACGTACACACACACACACACACACACACACACACACACACACAATCTGCGTTTTATAAGAAGTAAGATTAATTGTATCAACATAATTATATCCCAAACTATTTTGCATATGATCTGAACCAAAATTACACGTAAAATAATAATTCTGAAGTAGGTATATATTAAATAGATTGAAAGAATTTCTCGTGAAAATATATTGGGGGAAACTTGCAGAAATAACAAAAAACGTATCTATGAACACAAAAGGCATCTAATTCCCAACAATTTATCAAATATATTAGTTATACATAGGAATAAATTCAACCACAGCTGACCCAAAGAATGTGACGCTTATTAAAAGATAAAGCAGCTTAATTACGCGAAAAATTCTCGATAGTGCCTCTATCAAATCTTACCAAAATATAAATCTGCGTCAAGGAATTTTTCAAATATCTCATTTCTGAAAGAATTATTACTTTTCTAAGACGAGATACACGACTCTAAAATTGTTAAACTGTTAAAATACAGCAATTAAATTGATGAGCTTATGCTATTTAAAATATATAACAGTAAAATTAATCCCAAATTATATTAATTCGACAACATCATTTAGTAAATTTCGTCCATTGGCCATTGAATTTTGTCAGATGGTAACATCTAGAGTCTGCCTAGATCTTCCGATAACCTTATGAATATGCATGAGCGTTTGTTGATTAAAAAAAGAATCTTGTATATAAATACTTGTTACAAAATAATATTCTTTCATTTGCCTTCAGACACATACAAACACACGCGTACACACACAGACACACACATACACACACACAAACACATACACACACACATATATATATTATATATATATATATATATATATATATATATGTTGTTAAACAAAACTACCAATAAATAACGGTGTGTACACTCAACGTCGGCTGAACAAAAGGTGTCATTTGAAGCATTATTAATCACTCTCTCCTCTCCTCCTCTCTCTCTTAATATATATATATATATATATATATATATATATATATATAAACTATTATATATATATATATATATATATATATATATATATATATATATATGATGAAGGAGAGTATGCTGACTAAAAATAACACGTGATTGGATCTTGATAAATTTTCATTTTATTCACTCCTATATTTTTAGCAATAAAGTCGGTCATTGTTGCAAGGATTTTTAGTCTTTACCTATATTTATCAGAATAAGATATCGTTAAGATTTCATTTGATAATATCCATCCTTATAAGAATTATTGATAATTACTTAATTTTGAAAGACTTCACAGCTTTTATTAGGCAAAGAAAATTTAGCCTACATTGTATTAATGAGTAATTTGAAACGCTATCGACTACAGAAAAACATATATTTGATGAATACAATATCCCATATTTCTGAACAAATTATATCATTCATTTCGTCAATGTTGTCGTCTAAAATGTCGTAGGTCATACAACCGTGTGCGAAATGTCCAAAATCAATTATGTCCACAGCCCTGTGATGTGTCCCAGTGTTGTGTTTGCGCCAACCATTTTAGTCTCGACGTAAGGAGGCTAGTTCCTTTCTTCAAGACATGTGAGTTGGATTTATTTTGAAGTTACCTTCTAGTTTTAGCCTAAAAAACCCTACAAAGCAGGGATTTGAATTCAAAGTCTTTCTTCTCCTAGACCGTTTGACAACCAAGTCTATAGAAATCAGTATGTTCTGCTATTTACTGATAGCTGGGGAAGGAGAAGAGATGGATTCCTACATTCCCGAGGGTAATAGTACCTAAGTGAATTCAAGTCTCCATTTTATTGCTTTTTATGTCAATATTGACTCATTTCATAGATTGAAGTTTTAACGCTTCAACTTTTTAGACTTTTATCATTACTTGTAGCGGTTTTTTTATTGAATCCTTAAGATCTGCTTTGCTTGAATATTGTTCTCCATTCTTAGATACCCTTTTTTAAATAATGTAAAAAAAATAATTTTCAGTCCGATATCTGATATCTGAAGACTTTGGCTGATTTTCCAATAATTTGGTGCCTCTGAACCATTTTTTTCTTCGTCTTTTGGCAATAAGGGTAGTCGCCAGTACCGAATGTGAAGAAACATTGCTTATTGGAATATATTCTTAGTTCGTACCTATGTTTTGATTGGTTCCGTTCAAAAATGTCTTGTACAAGAACTTAGAGTAATTCTCTTCATTTATAACTAGTAAGATCACATTGAGATGTGAAAATGACAGTTTACATTCACTGCCATCCTCTGTCACTTTCTTTCTCTTTCTTTCTCCTTCTTTGTCTCTCTCTCTCTCTCTCTCTCTCTCTTTTTCCGGATACAGAGAACCTTTTGAATCCGAATTCCGAAGTCTTCAGTCTTTGCATACACATTAAGAAATTCCTCTTAAGCACATATGAGACTGGAAAAAATAGAAAAATTATTTTAGACGACGCGTTTCCTCCGGTGATAGACTTTACCATGGAAAATATAAGGAATTTTACTACAAGAATTTATAAACTAAAGTCAAAATTTTGTTTTTCTAAATTTTTAAATTTAAAAACGCTCATAAATATATATCAGGCTAACTGAAAAGTTAAGTTAAATTGGGAAGGATGCTAATCGATTTAATACCTCATAAAATAGTCAGTCAATGCTGTTTTTATAATGTACTTATTACTTATATTATTTTAGTTTGGGTTTAATTTATGCATTATATTTTAAATAATAGAAGGTTATGAATTTAACCGTTTTCTTTCAATGTTTTAAAACTTTCATAGTCATGTAGGTTGACTTGCGAAAGTAGTATTTCTTTCAGAAACGGCCATATTAAAAAAAACAAACAAAAAAATAACCGGCCGGCCGATTTGTAATTTGGTAAGATACAAAAGTAGCACTCTCAATAACTTTTTGACTAAGTTCCTTTATATTCCTCCACACCACATGTTCGCTTTTGTGGCTATACAGAAAAGAACCAACGAAATACAAGGTATTACATTTCGGGTCAGTTTAGCTGCAGGAGTTGCAGATAGATTTTTAGAGTTGATAGCCAACCACCTTCGGGGTTTTGCTCTGTATTTTCTGTCCGGATGTACTTCCATAGACATTTTGCATATGGCTGCAAGGCAGCGGCGGATTAAAATCAGTATTTTTCAGGGGTTTGTTATCTTATTTGTTTAGTTGAAAATATTGGCTTTGTTTTTATCCTTTTTTCTTCTTTTGATTTTTCTTTCTTTCTTTGATTTTTGTCATATTCTTCTTTTCTTCATTTAATTCATCTCTACTTTTTTGTCATCTTCCCCTTTTTGACTCTTATTTTTTTCTTTTTCTTCATTCATTATTTGCAGTGCATATAGTGCATATATTTATATCTTCCATGATAGTATTTTACAAAATATTCGTTTAAGTTTTGATTTTGAAGTAAACGTAGTAACAATTTGTTTTCGTCTCTGAATTTTGTGATAAGTACCGATCGTAAATGTAATAATAATGATTATGGTAATCAACAACAAAAATTAAGTAATCAATAATGAATAATAAGTAAAACGTTAATAAAGAGCACTATACGATATCTACAAATAAATACCCGCATTCGGATTCACAATTATTCATACTCAATAGAGTCAAGAGTAATTTGAAACATAATCGTTACCGTCTACACAATAACCATGAAGATAATATAATAGTCCTTACTAATCATATTGCACTGATAACCAGCATCTATAAATATTCAAGCCAAAACACAAGACACGTGGCCTGAAGATTGCTTTCACGCAGGAAACAAACAGTCGCCACACACTATTGTCCCCAGTCCCCACTTTTATATTTCTAGATATATGTGTGTATGTGCGTGCAGATATATAATTATATATATATATGTATGTGTTTGTGTGCATGTATGTATGGCCATATATATATATATATATATATATATATATATATGATCCGTCAACTAGTGTTTCTATCAACAAACTAGATACATATTTGATGACCATAGCATTAGCAAGACGTCTTACACTTCATTTGTCAGATACAAGTTCCATTGCGCAACATAATATTCATTGAAACATACCGACTATATATATATATATATATATATATATATATATATATATGTGTGTGTGTGTGTGTGTGTGTGTGTTTAATAAGAACGAAAAAAATATAAATTAGAACGTTCACAACATTGATTCAAAAGAGGGCTCAATACCAGAAGTAGAACATATTTATATTTTTAATAAAAATTGTTACTTACGGGCAAAATTGTCCATATGTAAAAATTTTACAATATATATATATATATATATATATATATATATATATATATATATATATATATATTATTGACAACTGAAAAGCGTCCATGAAAGTATATTTCGAAAAAACTTCCAACTATGCATTTCGCCGGTTAGGCTTCATCAGATCGAAGGCGAAACAATGAGCTGCGTCTCTATGTAATTGTGTATGTCTAAAATAATCAAATTTTCCATTTTTCCAAGCTGGCTTTGGTTGTGATTAAAAACCACAAGATAAAAATGGATAAGAAACAAATCTTCCATTTATTTTCTACCGATTCTGAAGGATTTCTTTCTCTAAACTCGGACACTTTTTTTTTAAAATGTCTCTTTTTTAGTGATTATATTTTCATGGACGTTTTTCCAATTGTCAATAATTTATAACTCTGTCGGAATCATGTACCCAAATTTATATATATATATATATATATATATATATATATATATATATATATATATATATATGTATGTATGTATGTATATCTACATCCAATTTTATTCTTTTCTTCATTCTGCAATATCGACCTCACTTTCTTCTTTTTTCCTAGTCTTTTTTTTTATCATACTTTATCTTCCTGACTTCTTCTCATTTTCTTCTCTATGCCATTTCTTATCTTTTACGTTTCATTCATCTTCTCTTATTCTCTCTGCTCATTCTTCTTTTTCTTTTACCTTCATTTCCTTCATGATGTTCTCCTTCCAGTTTTTTTTACCGTTTTTCATTCACTTATTTCTTTTCTTTGATTTTCTTTTCCTCTCCATTTTTAATTGTCTTCATCTTGTCTTACTTATGTCTTCTTTCTTCATTTTCATCTGTTTCCCTTTTATATTTATTTTCCTTTTTTCTCTTTCTCTTTTACTTCTTCTTCTTTATCTACTCTTCTTTCATTTTCTCTTCACTTAAAATCATTTTGCTTCTTTTCTCTTTCATCCCTTCATCTATTCTTTTTTTCACAATCCTTATTCTTTTACCTTCTTTATTTCCCTCCTGTGCTCTTTCGTTCCCCCGTTTTATTGTCTGTCTTTCTTTCTTTCGACTTTTGTCGTATTCTTCTTTTCTTCATTTAACTCATATATCCTTTTTTATCATCTTTCCATTTTTCGTCCTTTTCGATTTTTCACTCTTACCTTTTTCTTTTTCTTCATCCATTTACAATTTTCTTTTTTTCCTTTTTATTTCACCTTCTCTTTCTTTTCTCTTACTTCCTCTCGTTTTCTCCCTCTACACTTTTTTGTTGTCGTCGTTATTTTTTCTTACCTTCTCTTCTGTTCATATTCTTTTTTCTTTCCTTGTAGTTTTCCCATTTTCTTTCTTTACCTTTTCTCTTTCTTTTCCTTTTCCCAATACGCTTCCTTTAGTCATCTTTCACATATTTCTTCCTCTCATTTCTAATCTTTTTTTTTCTTTGTCTTTCTCTTTCCTTTCCAGTACTATTGTCTTTTCCTTTGCTACTCTATTTTTTATTATTATTATTACCTTTTGTTTTCTTCGTCTTTGGATATTCTCTTTCTTCGGATGTCTTTTATAAATCCATTATTTTCTAATATATCCCAGTACCTTTACCGATTTCTTGGCTTTTCTCTCTTGAAAGATTCCTACAAATTATCTTTTGAGAAAAATGCCCAAAAAATTAAAAAAAATGTCTACTATGTGATTTATGCTTCGGTAAATTGAACGATGATTTTGGCGGGAATCCAACTACGCAAAATTTATTATAAGCTCAATATATATATATATATATATATATATATATATATATATATATATATATATATATATATTTTTTATTTATTGATCTCTCGACATAAATCGAATTATAAGTAGTTAAATAGATATACATTTAAAGATATTATTCTTTCATAGGATTTTATTTCATTTTAATGGTACTTAACAAATCATAAAGAAAGGCGAATAAATTCCAAATGAGTTTGTTATTAGTCAATTAAAAAGCTGCAGATTTAAGATTTTTTAAGAAAGAAATTCAGCCTTAAAACGATATGTTCGATGTTGATTTAGAAAAGGTAGAAAATGCAAGATTTTAACAAATGTAGCTTAGCAGATAAAAGAGTCAATTTCTTCATATGGAGTGAAATACAGTTTCTCATGACGGCATTTTTGTACCACTTTCTTTAATCTAAAATAACCCTAGCTCGAATTTACCTATATATATCCTCACAAATTATTTTCTTTACTCTTAGATCTTTTAATAATTTAGAATTTACCTTTCGACAATTTATATCGCATTAGTGGAAGTACCTTCTTTAGATGTCATAGTTACCTATTTTGACAGATTTAATACATGTTTAAATTTATGAATAAATTTTAATTCTGAAATCGGATATTATATTGCTAGCAATCTATTACTTTAACCATCAGCATTTAAGTCAGCGTTTTATATATATATATATATATATGTGTGTGTGTGTGTGTGTATTTAGGCAGGAAGCCTTCTTTCATGCACATTTCATTGGATACGACAGACAAGTTGTTTTGATTTCGTTTTATACAATTTCACATGCGAACTAATATATATTTTTCTTTTCCGATGATATATTATATAAAAAACTCTCCGTCCTATATATGTCCTATATATATATATATATATATATATATATATATATATATATATACACACACACATATACGCACACACACAAGATGTAATTGTCCCCGACTCTGCAGTTTCGTGGTACTATGTCCACTTTTCAAGAGCTTAATCCGTATATTAAATATTTCCAATTGTGATGAATATTCATTTTACCTTTCAATTTTCATATACGCGTCTTTTTTTTTTTTTCAATTCCGTTATGGACGCGCGCATGTCATGTTTTTACATGTGCTCACGTATTCGTTCATAAACGTATTTGTTTTTCATTTGTATATTTTGTAATTTATAAACATTTTTCAAATGTATATTTTCACTTGTATATTTTGTAATCTTTATTCATATATATATATATATATATATATATATATATATATATATATATATAAAAAATCAAAGATATACAAACAAAAATAAGAATGAAAAAAAAAAATAATAATATAATATACAATATAATAAATATCAATATAATAAACACAATACATTATATTTTTTATTATATTATATTATTATTTATTTTATATTAATTTCTGTGATATGTATTATATTATTTTATATTAGTATTCAATTTGAAGAGTAAATATTTATTAAAATGTCTGCATTTACCGATTAATTCATTTCTCTTGTTTAATGATTTAATTCGATTATTGAAATTTAGTATATAAATTTATTATATAAATTTTTATTTTCATACACAGTCTACATTTTCGATTATTAATATTAAATTGGAGTAATTTTTTATGATTTCCCATTTTAGTTGATATATTTTCCCTTTCTGGCTCCATATATATTTTAATCTTGTCAGTTGCTTATCCGTCTATTATAAAATGACATTTTATGATTAGTAAATCTTTCTTTAAAAGTTGCTTCAGTTGCTCCTATATAGTTTTGTCTTCCATGTTACTTTGCACATTGTATAATTAGATATTTATTATTAAACGAGAAGTTGATTTTATTTTGACAATTACAATTATTGTTGCTATTTTGCAGCTTTTTTGTCATTATCTTATATATATATATATATATATATATATATATATATATATATATATATATATATATGTGTATGTCAATGTCTATGTGTGTCTGTGTGTGCATAAATATATATATATATGTGTGTGTGTGTTTGTGTGTGTAGATACGTGCCAACAAAATGTGCACTTATATTTAACATTAGTTGAAAATTTTGCGGTACATAATGAGGAAAGAGTGCTTGTCAAATTTGATGCTCTTAGGACATATTGAGGATAAGTGAACCAGAGGAAAGTAACGCACATCCTACATGGCGAACTTGAGCGAATCGATAGCGGAGCATGGCTTGGGGGAGATTGCAAAAGGTCAAAAGTTATAAATCGCTACAAAATACGAGAAATCGGGGAGATCCATGATCACCAACGGTCTTAACCGATACAACACACATCAA